GACCAAGGAACCTCGCCCAGTAGCTCCCTTAATTAAGCTGCCTTTAAGCTTTCTCAAATCCTGGTCCCTTTCTTGAGTCTGCGACCTTACAAATACATAAAACTAGGATTATGAGAGATGTTTTTGTTGTTATAACTAAATATAGGAATGTTTTTATTAAAACAATAATAAAACTCACTGTGTCATTTTGGTATCACCTCTCTGATAGTGTCAACCCTGCACCACCATCACCACCCCCAGTGATGTCTCTGTTCTCAGTCACAATGGCATAACTTTACAGGAGTTCGGTTTTATTATTCCCATTTTACAGAAGTTCAATTCTTACTGGGAGTCCCACAACCAGTGAGGAGTAGAGCAAGATTGGAATCTAAGGCAGAGTGTGGCTGAGGAGTGAATAGTATAGCTGAGGGAGATGGAGATGTCACAAATATTCTCCTCTGTGATGTTGAGAATCTGAGGCCAGGTCTTAAGGGCCTCCCAGCCCTCTCACTGTTCCCGTCAGTCACTGACAAGGGCTGCTCCTTGACCTTCCCACCACCTTCTCCTGGAAAAAATGGCTCTGACTCAAGCCCATTCCTTATCAATCCTCAAAGTGGTCCGGGAATGAGGACCTGAAAGAGGAAGGATGTGTTCTTCAGAACAGGTCTCCCGGCCTGCCTCAAGGGAAGTCTTGGCTCTAGGGCCGGAAGGAGACACTTTAAAGCTTTCCCTGGGGAATCATGACCAGGAAGAAAGATGATCAGGTTCATAGCGACTGTGGCAGAGATGTAAGGCCAGGCAGATGTAGCCCCACCTCTTCATCTTCTCTGGAACCCTCTGACTCTGGACCCCTCACCCAGAAAAATCTTTTTTTACTTGACCTCTCCCTTGCTGTGCCTGTGTGCTCATCTCCTGGACTCTGTGCACATTGGAGTCCTGGAACAAGACTGTCACTCCCCTCAGGCTGAGAGCTTCTGGGAGCAGGCATACAAACACTCACCAAGGGTTCCTAAGGGAAATTTGTGTCTTCTCCCTCAGCCTGATGTGGGTAACACTAATTCAGACTGCTGGATCTGGAAGGCTGGGCTAAATCAGAAGCACCCTTCCTGAGATCAAGGGCTGCCCCAAAGCACCTGCATTACATTCCCTGAATCCCCTCTTTCCATGGCCCTGCATCTGTCCCCTACATTTAGGGAAACTGAGCTTCTGCCTGACCTTCCATCCCACCCAAATGCTCCTTTAAGACCAAAAGGATGGGGGTTGCATCCAGAGTCAGACACAACAGCCCCATCCTCCCCCTTCCCAGGCCAGGTTTCCTGCCATTGACAGCATCCCAGCTGGGCCCAGCCCAACCTCCCAACGCTTAACCCTTTCACGACCAGATCTGAGGCCTACTGGCTTGCACCCCAACCTTTACCTATAAAACTAGGAAAATAAAAATACTCATCAGATAGTTACGACAATCCATACATTAGTGTGTAAAGTACCTAGAAGAACAACTAGGTTGTTCTTATTACAAAGTAATCTCTCAATAAAAGATAGCTATTATTTCTAATTCTGTGAGCTTGGATAAGAAATTTCTTTTCTCTGAACCTTGATCTCTTTAGCTGTGAAATGGAGAATATAAAGGAAATTTCCCACAGATTCTCCTAGGGATTAGTTGTGACAATGCAAATGATATTGGAAGTGTTGTGACAACACAGTGTGAAACAGTCACAGACAAAACAAGAAAAAAGCTAGTAACAAAAATTTCTTACCAGGAAAAGGGCCTTAGGGTTTTCAGATCTTATTTGACAAAGGTGCTGTAGAAAGGGTGGATACAGAACTAGGCTCTCTCCCACCTGATGACATTTTCTGTCTCTGTTTCCTTACCCAAAAAGTGGGCCTGGCCTTTCCTGCAGGGCTTCCACTCCTGGTCCTGGAGGTTTGAGAGGATCAAAGGAGGTCAGAGAGCCCAGATGTGAAAGTGCTTTGCAAACCTCAAAAAGTGCTAGAAGGGAGGGGAAAGAACTAGAGGAAGGGGCCATCTACAGGGTGGGCAGTCACCTCTGTGGAAGGGACATTGGCCTCTGAATTGTGGGTGCTGGAGGATTACCTGCTGGCGAGTGGGAGGAGCATCCACATACCAGAACTTAGAGGGTGGGGGGGGCAGAGCTTTTTCTTGGGAACTGAAGTGTCAGATAGGAAACTTTGTCAGCTCTAGATACCCCAAAGTGGGAGGTCAGAAGAGGAAGGGGCCTAAAGAACTTCATCTTGGCCCCAGAGTAATTTCTTCATTCCTTCTCTTCCCAGTCAATCCCACTTAGCCTTAGAGTCCTTGGGAGAAGCACCTCCTATGGCCTCTTGGGTGACCTTTGTGCCTTTGACTTGCTGAGACTGGTTCACCTTGCACATCTACAGCACCACTACCTGCAGGCAGCTGATTCCAGGCCTTTCCCAAGGGCACGAGGCACACATCTGTTGAGCACAAGTCTGAACCTGCTGCACATCGGGACAAAAAGCAAAGCAGCTAGAACCCTGCTATACCATCTCTCTCAAACTTACATAGGCATCTGCCAAGGTCTGGGAGGAAGAGCAGACTGACCAGGTCATTGGAGGAAATCTGAAAATCAGAGTCCTAGCTATACCCTAGAATCACTGTGCCTCTGTAGCAAATCAGTCTGCTTTTCAGAGCCTGTTTGACCATCTGTAAAACAAAGGAGCTGGGCCTGATGCCGAGGTCTTTCCAGCTCTGAGAGACTGTGATCAGGAAGGAGTTAATGGAGGCCAGGCTCTGGGTCAGGAAGGGTTAATCTGGGGGGGGGGTGGTGGAGGCTCTTTCTGCTTTTCCTGTGGAGAGTGAGGTTTGGCTGCCACCAAAGTTACTTCCAGTCCCTGCTGTCCCTCCTGCCCTCAGTTCAGACCTGCCTGGGAATTCCTGTATTCGGCCTCCCCATGCAGAGGTGAGTGTATGCTGAACCCAGGGCTCGGGTGGGAGACAACCCATAGTCCCAAAGCAAGCTTCTGGCACCAAATCAGTGAGCAGAGAAGCCCACACCTGGAGCTGAAGGCTTGGGCAGCTTTCAGACCACTAACCCTAAGGCTGGGAGAAGGTGGGCAAAGGGAGGGAGAGAGGGAGGGCTCGTACATCTGTGGTTAGACGTCCAGGCCAGCCCAGAAAGCAGGGAAGAAACAGTGGATGAGAGACTATTTTGGTCCCTGTGTTTAGGGACTTTTTATAGCCTTGTTGCTCAGGGCTAGGGAGAGAAGGACGGGACAAGGCTACTCCTGAGGTCACACAAGCACAGTGCCCTCCTGCGATCTGGAAATCTAACTAAATGCCCTGTATGTTCCTGAGGAGACAGAAAGTGCTCTTCCTGCCACCTTGCTACCAGTTACCAACTAATGAGGCCAGCTACCTGGGCAGTTAGGCACTGATTTGTAGGCATTTAACAACACAAAGGAAGCTCTAGTGGCCAAGTAGTAAGAAGCTGTGCTACCATCCCAAAGACACATGGTTCAAATCCACCAGCTGTTCCATGGGAGAAAGATGGACAATATCCTCCCATGAAATGAAGCTGCCTCTGAAAATCAAATAGAGGATCAGCTATGGGTGGCTTCTGACTCAGCAGTACACAATAACAACAACAATACTGCTGAAAGGCTGGTGGCCCCAACCCACCTAGAGTCACCTCAGAATACAAGCCTGGCGATCTGAAAGTTCTTAGCCTTGAAATCCTATGGGATAGTTTTCATCTGCACATGTAGGGTTACCATAAATGGAAATCAACTTGATAAGAACTAACGTGATAGGAAAGGAGCTGAAGAAAGTTTGACAGACAAGACCACCAGGAGTAGACAGGGTAAGTGTGGGAGGGGGGCAGAATTCTGCCCCCAGACCTCCCACCTGGGTTTGCTACCTCCTCCACATCCCTTGCTGGTGTTTCCTCCAGATCCATGGTCCTCTCAGTCACTAGGACTGATGTCCTGTGTCCCTCTCAGCTGGACTGTCGGGTATGGGGGTGGGTTATGAGCCATGTGGGTGGCCCATTCTGTTACAACCAAGGGACCTGTCAGCTCTTGATTTACAACTCCTCCTGGCCACATCCTCAGCTGAAGGGAACTGAAAGAAGGTCACAAGGTCTCAGAATAAGAAGGGGGCAGAGACCTTGAGGGAGTTCCTGGGAGTGCAGGATTTGGGAAAGAGAAAGTGGTAAAACTTTGTAGTGAGGCAATGGGCTCAATTTTAACAGAAATCACTTGGTAATTGTATCAGCAGATTAGAAGGAAACTAGCAAAGGAAAGTGCTGTGAGGCAAGGAGGAGACAGAGTCTGAACTCATTCTGAACCACAAGGCTAGACATGGCTCTCAGTCTGACTTGAACAGGCCTCATCCTCTCTCCTGGTTTTCTCTTCTAAGAAATGGAAATTCCGAGATTGGATAGGTGATGTTTGCTGCCGAACTCTCTAGAATCTCTTCGACAAGGGCACAGATTCGATGGTGGGTCAATGACAGACATGACCTGATGACCACCTCCCACTCCTTCAGCAGTGGCAGGACAGTTGGCTGCAATTACAGGAGGTTCCTACCCTGTGGTTATGTCCCTGACCTCGGTAATGGGGGCGGGAAGGGTGGGCCCTGCGCTGGAGCCAGCCTGTGGCTGGGGAGCCTCCTTGTCTTGGACTCAAAGCTGCTAGGCTGGAAAGAGGTATTTTTTCCGGTTGAGGAGACTTTCGGGAACTGGGCCCCAGCCCTGCTTCCTTTTCCAAGTGCCCTGCTTGCTGATGATGCCTGCTGGGCACAAACCTCTGGCCAGACTCGGATACCTTCAAAGGAGCATGAGTTTCTAGGTGGCCTGGGAAGCCTTACTGAATGGCTTTGAGTTGGGGGAAGGGGTGAACTGAATCTCTGCCCCTAGGCATGGCATCCTGCCTACTGGATCGGGGAGGGGGTTGATGGATCCTAACCCAGGAAGGTCTGCCAGAGAAAGGTAGGCACATCTCCTACCCTCTCCCAACCATTCCTTTCCGCCTACAGGCCTCCAGGAGCCCCAGTCAGTTGCTCTCAACTCCTCAGCCAGCTACCTACCTCCAGCAGCTTATGGAACACCGTCCAGCTCCGTTCTGCTAAGATGCTTTTGGCCTCTCCCTCCACCCCATCCAGGGGGCGCACCCCCAGCGCCGTGGAGAGGCTGGAGGCGGACAAAGCCAAGTACGTCAAGACGCATCAGTTGATAGCAAAGCGCCAGGAGCCAGCCCTGCGTGGGGCGTGTGGGCCGCTCACCCCGCACCCCTGCAATGAGCTGGGCCCCCCTGCATCACCCAGGACACCCAGATCTGCCCGCCGGGGTAGCGGTAGACGGCAGCCAAGACCTGATTCCCTCATCTTCTATCGTCAGAAGCGAGACTGCAAGGCCACCTTGAACAAGGAGAATGCCAAGGGCCAGGGGCTGGTACGACGCCTTTTCCTGGGCTCCCCTCGGGACGCCACCTCCAGCAGCCCAGGCCCAGCCGAGCGACCTGGGGTTTGGACCGCATCCCCAGATGTCCCAGAAGCAACCGGAAAGCGGGCACTGTGCCCCACTTGCTCGCTGCCGCTGTCAGAGAAGGAGCGTTTCTTCAACTACTGTGGCCTCGAACGCGCTCTGGTGGAGGTGCTGGGCGCTGAGCGCTTCTCCCCACAAAGCTGGGGCGCCGACTCCAGTCCTCCGTCTGGAACGTCGCCGCCGCCCGGATCCCGGGACACCAGCGACTGGACTTCCAGTGACAGCGGCGCAGAGGGCCCAGACTGTGCAGGCGGCGACGAAGCGGAGGCGGCGGGCTCGGCGCGCGACGGGCGCCCCCAAGTGTCAGTGGTGGAGCGCAACGCGCGCGTCATCCAGTGGCTGTACGGCTGTCAGCGCGCGCGAGGCCCGCCACGCGAGTCGGAGGTGTGACCACCTTCGCAGCTGAACAAGTTCCCGCGGTGCCGAGGCTGGACCCGAGCACCCGCCGGGACGCCCGGCTTCTGACAGGAGGAAGACCTTTGGGAAGCCCTCTCCTCTGAGTCTCGCTTTTCCCATCCGTTCTATGGGATGATCCCAAAGGCCTTCCTCGTGCTGTGTAGTGCAGGAGGACTTCTGTGGCTTCTATGGACGCTAGTCTGGTCTGGGAGGTAATGACTAAGATGGCAGATCAAGAGTATCTGCTGAATAAAGTGAAAACATTATTTTATATGGATCGTGTGTCTGGATTAGAGGGCAGTTGTTGAGAAGCGAGGCTGGGTAGGTTTGCAAGGTTAAACAGGCGGGCTTTACTGTGTGGGTCCCACGCTGACTTGTGACCCAGCACTTAAACTTTTGGTTTAAAAAGAAACAGATAAAAATGAAGAAGAGGAAGGGAGGAGAAATAACTTTAAAGTATGTATTTTGAAATTATTAAGGGCACTACAAATTGCCTATTAGTATTCTATTAATTAGTACTTTACTATTATAGAGTGCTCTAGCAGCATAGCAGAGCTCCCCATTCACTACGTTGTTGGTTTTGTTGTTGTGTAACATAGAGTCAGAACCATCCCATAGTTGATCCTCCAATGTGTTTTCAGAGGCAATTAATCCCACAGGAGGAGATAGCCCATCCTTCTCCCAGAGCTCCTGGTAGATTTGAACCGTGTGCCTTCCAGATTGTAGCACAGCTTCTTGCCACTAGGCCACCAGAGCTCCTTAAAGAGGAGCTCTATTGCCACAGCTAGTAGGGAGTTGCAAGCCTCTCTAGCAGTTTGAATCCAACACTGGTTCTGAGGGAGAAAGACAAGCAATCTCCTCCCATTCAGTTTACAGTCTTAGAATCTCAATGAGGGTCAGCTATGAGTCGGCTCTGACAATACAGCAATGGGTTGAGTTGAATACAATTATAGCGCTCTGATGGCCTAGCCTATCGGGCAGCCAACCCAAAAGCCATACCTCTCTAGAGGTTCCAAACTATTAGCTGCTCAGCAGGAGAAAAATGGATATTCTCCTCTTGTGTGATTTACCGTCTTGGAATTCCTATGGAGGGTCAGCTTTGAATCATTTCTGACTCAAAACAGCAGTGAGTTTGGTTGATCACTATTATCAGTTCTGGTTGGCATATGACCTGCATCTTTTGTGGTTGGAAAATATCAGATGGCTGTCAGAGAACTGCATCCTTGGAAACCCTACTAAGGGTTGCTATAAGTCAGTAAATGAGTTAATACTATTATTTCTTCCACCAACACCAACTTGTCCCCAACTAGAGCTGGTAGCTGGGAATGGTACTTTTGCAGGACATAGAAAGAAATCTGGAGTCCCTATCCAGTCTTAGAAACTACCAGCCTCTAAAATGTCCCAATTCCTGGTGCTTTGCTACAACTTTTGTGGTCACTAGGCATGAGGACTGAAGTATGATGGAGCTGGAGTTTGAGACAATCAAACAGACCCTTGGAATCATGAGCTTTCCAAGTGACAACCTCACTCAGCCCCTGCCTCCCTTACCACAAGCACACACAAAGTGCTTCATGTGTTCTTATCTCTCAGTCTTTGTTCATATTCCTTCTCCCTTCGCCTCACTTACCTTTCCCTTCCTCTCAATCTATCATTTAGTGATGAAATATAGTCTCCTTTAGGAAGTTTTCTGAATCCCTCTGCACTTTGTGTGGGGCCTGCTGGTATGAGTTGTTAGTCGGCCCTTACCCAGTACAGGGAACACATATATATTTGAGCTACATGTAACATTTGTTGATGTACAAAAGAGGCTGGGCATGGTGATAAGTGCATCGTCTGAGGCTCCCCAATATCCTTCAGCATTGTATCTTTTTGAGTCGTGGTGCTGGAAGAGTATTGAACATACCATGGACTAACAAGAAAACTAACAGGTCTGTCCTGGAGAGGGTGAAACCAAGCTGCTCCTTGGAGGCAAGGATTTTGAGACTTCATGTCGCATACTTTGGGAATGTAGTAAGGAGCAGCTAGTCTTTGGAGAACGATCTAATGCTTAGAAGGGTTGAGGGACAGAGCAGGAAAGGAAGACCCTGGGTAATATGGATTTACACAATAATAACAGGGGCAAAAAAGTTAGATGTGTCAGAGATAATGGGATTGGCTCAGGATAGAGCAGGATTCAGAGCTATTGTGCACAGGGTCTCCATGAGTCTAGTTCAGCACATAGCATCTTAATACTGTCGTCGTTATTGTTGTGTATCGTCGAGTTGGACCAACCCATAGCTGACCTTGCAGTGAGTTTTCAGAGGCTGTTAACCACACCGGAGGAGACTGCCTATCTTTCTTCTGTGGAGCATCTGGTGGATTTGAACCACGTGCCTTTGGGATTGCAGTGCAGTTTCTTACCACTAGGCCACCAGAGCTCCCTAAATTAATACTACATCTTCTGATACTTTTGCTATTACATCTGTGTCTGGTCATTTTCTCCTGTGTTTGTGGACAACAGAACTCTGGTGGTACAGGATGTTAACTGTTGGGCAGGCTGGTTAACTGAAAGGTCAGCCTCTGGAGCCCACCAGTCATTCTGAGGGAGAAAGAAGAGGCAGCTTCCTCCTGTTAAGATTTACTGCTTTGGAAACCAAGTGATGGAGGGCCGCCATGACTTGGAATTGACTCCAGACATTGACTTTTTATTTATTGGGTTTTATTGATTAGTTGGGGCTGTTAACTGAGTGTTCAACTATTGGCATCTACTACCATTTGCTCCTGGAGAGGGATGAGCCAGCCAGTCAGCTTCTCTGTAAAGACTATCGCGTTAGAAATCCTGAAGTAGCCCCATAATGTCTTATAGGATCTCTGACTCCCAATGAACTGGACAGCAAAATGGGTTATGGGATATTTGTGGGAAAGGTCAGTACCCCTTTGGCTGGATCCCGCCCAGGCCTGCCCCACCTAAAAGTAGCCCTCTCCGATGTCTGGACAAAAATAGGCAGCCACGGGGTGTCTCACTAGGGGCTTTTATAGGATGGGGGGAGCAAGCACCCAGTTCCACTAGCCGGCTAGTCTCCCTTGGGCGCAGCCTTCACTCTCATCTCAGCCAATTTGTTGGTGAGGAAGCCCCACTTGAAGCCAGCTGCAGGGTCGGCGTCCCGCGCCTCTAGGCGCTCGGCGGCCTCCGCTGTGGTCTCCTCCCCCGGTTCGGGGTTGGCCTCCGAGGAGGGGTCCGCGCTGCGCAGCATGGACGCCGCCGCCGCCTGCTGCTGCTGCCACCTGCTGGCGAACGCATCCCAAAAGCCGGGTCCGCGCGGCTCCGCCTCGGCCGCCGCCGCCTGCGCGGGGGGTCGCGCTGCCAGGGGGCTGCGGGAGAGAGATGGGTCTGGGGGCCGAAAGAGAGACTCCCGGAGGGAAACCGGAAGCGGAAGCGAGGGGCGTGTCAAGGCACCTGGAGTGGAAGTTGTAGCGAAGAAGAGGAAGACCCTCTACAACATGCATCAGCATAGTGGCTATAACAATGGTCTCGAGGAAGGCGTCTAAGACAGGGCAAGGATCCGATCGCTAGAAGTCATAGTCTGCTAGAGTGAACTTAACAACAAAAGTGAAGACAAGAGGTGGGGTGGGGGGAGAGAAAGGGCAAATGAAGAGTTGGCTATCTGGAGGGCTTCAGGAGAGAGGGCCAGGGAGCTCAGGGTCTGGAAGGAAAGACGGGCTCAGAGCACTAAGAAGGGATCTCGGCGGGTTGGGGTCAAGGTTTGAGGCGAGAGATGTGGGAGGAAGGGATCAGAGTCTGGATTCGTGGGGGGAGAAGAGAGCAAAGGATTCCAGGAGAGAGTGAAGCTCCAGGTCTAAGAGGAGGAGAGAATGATCCCGAGAGAGGGGTGGAGTCCAGGAGGCGTGAAAGAGAAGTGGGGCGGAGATCACACTCTTGGGGAATGCCGGGTTGAATCCCCAAGAAAGAGGGGTGAATAGAGGAAAAGAGGAGGAAATGGTGGAAAAAAGAGCAATCCTGAGAGATGGAGGCTTGGCAAGGAAAGGGTCTCGGGAGCCAACAGGGCCACGTGGGTAAAAGGCCAGTCAAGGAAGAACGACGCAGGATGGAGTGCGAGCTGGAGTCTGAGGCCCCATTCTTCCTTTTCCCTCACCCACAGCAGCAAAGACCTAAGGAGACCTGTGTTTCTAAACTAGTGTACTTTAGAATCCCCAGAGAGCTTAACGAAAACATAAATCCACTCTTGCTAAATCTCTGAAGGAAGTCTTGGGAATTTTGATTTGTTTTGATCACACAGCTCCCGGTGACGATGACGATCAGGCCAATGTTAGAGAATTACTGATCTGAGCTACACTATTCCAAACATCTACACTTCTTTCCTCTGTTCTGCTATTCTAGGAAGTTGATCACTCCCAAAAGAATGAGTAGAGAGAGTTCATAGGTACTTTTCTAATACCCTAATCCCAACAACAGGGAAGTTCTTCCTGGGATCTAACCTGATCTCTCCAATTTGCTCATTTAGCCTTTTTTTTTTTTTTCCTCATGAAAGAAAGAAAAACATGCAGGGGCTGCCTCTTTCCAGCCCTCTGATGTCAGAAAGATAAACTAGATAGAAAGGACATGGGAGAAAAGGGGCCCTGGGCTTCCCCTTCCCAATATCTCTCCTTCCCATTTCTCCCCTTCCCTCCCCCACACACGTACTGGTCAGCACAGGGCTCCGGTGGCAGCAGCTTGTCCTCATCTTCTTTGTTAAACAGAGATGACATTGTCAGCCAACCTTTCACCCCGACCCCCTGAACCTAGGAAGGAGGGGCTGGAGTCAGGAGGTTAAGATCCCAGGACTCCATAGCAGTTTCTGCCAGACTCTGGGGAACAGGATCAGGTTGGCCTTGGGAGAAGAGAAAAGAACTTACCCTGCGGGCGAGCTGTGACATGGGATTGAAAACCTCTTCGGCTGGTTCTGCCACCTCAGACTCCAACACTGGGGTTTCCCTCTGGGACATAAGATCACACTCAGCATGAGACCCTGGCAGAATGCCCCCACAACCTGGCACCCAAACTTCACAGAACTAAACACATCACAAAGGCACATGGAAATGTACATAGGTATACCTCCTCACAAAGCTACAAGTCCCATAGACATACATGCCTGTAAATTCCTGCAGATACCCTTCAGCACACATGCCTGCCATCTGCCAGCCACAGATGCACAGATACATACACACGGACCCACGGACACATGGACAAAGGTATGTATGCTTAGAGACACCCATGGGCCAGACTCGATACAACTAGAGCTCTTCACTCCTGTACATAGGTATATGTGATGTGAGGCACCTGTAATGAGCATGCGCACAGTTATGTCATTCATACCTGTGCATGTGTGCACTTGCACAACCGCAGACAGCTTCACAGAAGTCCACTCACAGCACACACACCTTTTCCAGCCCCCCAGAATGCAGATGTTTGATGCACCCAAAAATACACACCAGACAAACATAACATCAGAAATGCCTGCACAGAGGTATGCAGGCATAGACATATGCTCAGAATGTACACACCTGAGAATATCTGCACCCAGTTCACATCCACACACATCTTTCACTGAGGATTCCATATGGACTAGAAGGCAACCTTAATATCATCCATAGGTTAAGACTTTGGATACCAAACTGTCTAAATTGATATATATGCATCTCTCCTCCTTCAAGCTTCTCCTACCCCAAGAATAATTTCTGCCCCTTTTACATTTATGTACATGGCTACTATCTATTATAGCATCTAGGCCTGAGGCAATTCCCAGTGTCAGAATTTTGCTTGGTCTTTTTATGTCGGCACAAAGCATGGTTCATGAGAACCATGAGAGATGACTCTGATGTGATGCCGATACGGTGACCTTCAAAGCACAAACACTATTCCCCTTGTTGTTGTTATTGATTATCTTCAAGTAGAGCACAACTCATAGCAACCCTATGAACAAAAGGCTTGAAGCCCCTCTACAAGTATTGACATTCATCAAAGTTCACAGAGTTTCTGGAGGCATGTTATTTAGAAAGTGGATGCCCCTCCCATTCCCCTTACCTCCGGTAATAAAGGGGTCAGTATCTGTTGAGCAAACTGTCTCACTTTTGCTCTGCTCTGTCCATTAGAAAGTTGTGTCAAGCTAATATGTACATGGGACTATCATCAACAGTTCATAGAAGAATCTCATGCAGCATCCCTTGAGATTTTTTTAGCTCACTCTTCCCATGTCCTCAAGTCTTCACTTCCGTTTTCATAATGCCTTTGCATTATGCCATCCCTGAGTCTCTTCCCCCTCCTCTCTCCCCCTCTCTCATTGCTTGTCCCCTACCCCAGTTTAGCACTTCTCACTAAAGCTGCCCCTCTGTTTATGCCCCATCAATCTACCCACCTCCTCTGCCAGGTCCTCCTCAGATTCCCCGCTCAGGGTCTGTAACACTTTGGACTTGTAGGTTTTCCAGAAGGCCTGGTTCATGGCTGCAAGGGAAGCAGGCCTGGCACCCAGGCACAAGAAGATAGTGGCTCAGTGGGCACCCAGGGTCTCTAGCTCCAGGAACTTGGCGAGCCCAAGAAACTGTCCCAGGGATCAGGTAGCTTCATTAAAGATGCACCAACCTCCTCTTTTGGCACAGTGCCCAGCTGCTGAACCAGATCCAATGGAGTCTGGGATGGGGTTGATGAGGGTTTCAGCCACCTCAGGCCCTTCTTGACCCATATTGGTCAAGAATAATGATGACATCTCTCTCCACAAAGGCCTCCTTTTGGGGCCTAGGAGAACCTGGAGATTATCTCTTGGAGTTGTTCCAGAAAATTCCTCTTTTCCATTCATGAAGTGTTCAGGCCCAGGACCAACAGTGGTGCCCCTTGTGACTGTAGCCATGACAGTGGTGCCCTTTGCAGGGCTATGTCTTGTGTCCCTATTCAGCCTCCATGAACTGGAATGAAAAGGTACTAAAGCCCCTAGCAGATGCCCTAGGCTTACATTTCACTGCTTCATCTGGACTGGAAAACTCCCTCTCCCCAGGGATGCTCATGCCTGTCTCCTTGTTTCCTGGCAACAGGTTCTAAAGAGCTAGAGCCTTTGAATTATTACTGAGCTCCTCTAGCCCAGTCCCAAGGAACTGGCTTTGGCCAGTCTGGATGGCACCAAGTTCTGGTGAATGGGAGAAAGTTCCTAGGTCTTCTGTGGGCACGTGACAACTAGACTGTGCCTCTGCCTTTGCAGACAGTCCAGGACACAAATAATGGAGGCAAAAGTGAGGAGCTGCTTCTGTAACCAACCTCCTCTTCTTGTGAAAGGAGCTGACTCTTCTTCCAATCTGCCTAAGCACTGGTATCTCTGGAGAGGAACACCTCTCTCTCATGGCTAGGGGTGGAAAGATACAGAAGCACCAGTGATGCTGTGCTCAAGGTTCTGTTAACCAAAAAATCAGCAGTTGGAACCTACTAGAAGTTCTGCAAGCAGAAAGATGAGGCAGCCTGTTCTTGTAAGATTTACAGCCTTAGAAACCCTATGGGGCAGTTCTGCTTTGTCCTACAGAATTGCTATGAGTCGGAATTGATTCTATGATAATAGGTTTTGATGGAGGGTGGAGCGTCAAAGGGGAGGATGGAACACTCAAAAAGGCTCTATGTAAGGTGATTAGAGCCGGAGGGATCTCAGGAAGCTCTGTTGGGACCGGAATCCAAACATTTAGTCTCGTTTATTAATTTGTTAATAGTAATTTATTTAGTAATTTATTAAGGTCTCCCAACCGTGGAGCTTAGCATTTGGGACGAGTAATGGGTGACCGGGTCAGAAAATGGCACTGAACAATGCTGGGTTATGCTGGGGTGGGCAGAACAGCCAGAGCAGCTTCCGCAGCCCCGGAGCCGCCCGCTGGAGGGCGCTCAAGCGGCAGACTGGGGGTGACGTCATCAGAGGCCGTCTGGGCTCGCTTGCTCCACCCCCGGGCGTCTCGTGACGTCATTGAGCGGTACGGAAGTGCTCACACGTGTTCTTCTCCGAGCGCGGTCCTTGGCTGGTACAGGCCATGGGTCGCTCTCGCCGCACCGGCGCCCACCGGGCGCACTCATTGGCCCGTCAGATGAAGGCCAAGAAGCGGCGGCCAGACCTGGATGAGATTCACCGCGAGCTTCGACCTCAGGGTTCTTCACGGCCACTGCCCAAGCCGGACGCGGAACCCGACCCCGACCTGCCAGGGGGTGGCTTGCATCGCTGTCTGGCCTGCGCGTAAGCCTCTGCTGGGCCCAGCCTGGAGTGGTGGAGGGTCTGCAGTGCTGGTCGGGGGATGTCAGGGTCGGGTCCCGGGATGCGTGGGGTTTCTCCTTTTCCGAGGTCTGCATCTGCCCTCCTTGGCATCTCCCAGGCCCGGAACCTTGCTTCAGGGAAGATCTGGGATCTGAAAGTCATGTCAAGAGTCACTCTTTTCCTCGCCCCCTATTCCAACAGGAGGTACTTCATCGATTCTGCAAACTTAAGGACCCACTTTCGATCCAAAGACCACAAGAAAAGGTATGAGGGCATAAGACTGATGGATGAGTGTCTGCGTGCCGGCAGGCGTGCACCAAGTTGATAGGTAGGCAGGCAAGCCGTGGGTATGATCAGCTTCCAATTCTTTATTTTTCTTCCTCCCAGGCTGAAGCAGCTGAGTGTTGAACCCTACAGTCAGGAAGAGGCAGAGAGAGCAGCGGGAATGGGCTCCTATATCCCCCCTCATCGGCTGCCTGTGCCCACAGAGGTTTCCACAGATGTCCCAGAGATGGACACGTCTCCCTGACATGGCCCGAGAATGCAGGGCAGAGGAGATGCCCATGGGTGGTGATACAAAGACTAAACTGAAAGACATTACTAACATCTTTTGGACTTGGAATTAGGAGTGGTTTGGCCTCTTCTGGGTGCCTCCCTCTAATAAAGGAACAAGACAAAGAGGATTGCCTCTGAACCCCAACATTCAGGCCAGATCCTCCTACCTTCCTCTAAATTCCTGCCATGTTGGAATTTCTCTCTTAAGTCAATATACAGGGTCTAAGGTTTCTACTCTCTATTTGGTCCATCTTAGGAACTGCATATCGGCATTCCCTCTGGGATCTTGACATTTGAGCTGGAGCTGCCAGCAGTTGAGTAGGGTTAGGATTAACTATTCTAGATTTTGTGTGGGCAGGGACTGAGCCCTCAGGAAGGAAGGGTTAATATGAGAATATAGTTCCTCCCCTGAGTCACCTACCTCCAGGTCACGGTAAGAGGCTGCCTCCTTCATCATGGAGCCTGCGGTGGTTGTCGCTGCCCCACCATCTTCCAGACAGCATAGCAAGAGCCTCCCAGCCCCAGCACAGCCAGCAGTGTGGCCACAACCCCAGCCACTGGGCTCCGGGGCTCTGCCTTCAGTTCCCCTGTTACCTGCATCTAGGAGTACACAGGTTTGTGTAGAGGGTCAGTTGAGGTTTCTGGGGAGGTGGAGGATGGGAAAGAGCTGAGAATGTACAGCTGAGTGAAAAGATAGAAACGCCGTCACTGCCCCAGGGAGATTCCACCCCAGTATCTCTCGCTTCACTGCCCATCTGGGCCCTGGCTGCTCAGGCGGCAGGAAACGTGCCAGCTTGGCTGTAGGGGGTGTCAACCTAGCGTGGTAGGGGGAAAGGAGAAGGTAGTTGTGCCGGAAGCCATTGGTCAGTCAGAGGACTTACCTGTAGTACTCGGAAGTAGCCTGGGGTCAGGCGTCGAAATCGCATGGTGAGGACACTGATCTCCCTGGCGGCCTGTGGGGGTGAGGGTGGGCTTGAGGTGCAATGGTGTTCATGGTGCCAAGGGTAGGATATCAGGGTCCTGAGATCTCTGACCTCCCCCCAACAGGGAACCCCTTCCTTCAGAGGATGCTCACCAGCGCCTCCTCACCGAGCTCTGGCAGGAGGTGGGGCAGCGGGTTCTTTAAATCCGGTCCCTTCCCCCCAACAGCCCTGCCAACCTCAGGAGCAGCTGTCAGGAGAGATCAGCATCAGGCCTGAGCAGAAGCACCTCCCCCAGCCACTGTGGGGACAAGGCCTTAACAGCATTCAGGAACCTCAGGTCTGGACAAGGTGTGGGAGGGCCTCCGCAAGCCTTGGTCCGGACCCTTCCTTTACCTCAAATGATTGAGGACCACCAGTCAGCTCTCTGCAGAGGAGTGGGAGGGTGCTTTATGAGCCTATATGATTGTTCCTGTTTAAAGAGTCATGTCCTCCCCACAATGTAGTTCCCATAGGGACACTACAGTTTTTCTTTGTCCTCTCCTTTAGGGACAGTCATACCTCCTGGAGTTAGGAATACTCCATGAAAGAATGTGTGTAAAATGTGTACACCTTCAGCCTGGGAGTTTCCCTTCTGCAGAAGTACTGGCGCAACCGAGTTTAGATAAAGGAATTAGTGTTCATTCCAATATTTTGTGCAGTAGAAAAATTTGGAAATGGCCTTGGTCCCTAAAAAGGTAGATCTGTAAATACTGGTTTACAGAGTGGTCTGCTGTTGTGTTTTTAAAAAAGAGCAGCTAGAGAGCTCTGTTGGCCTAGTGGCAAGAAGCTGTGCTGCAATCCTGAAGGCATGCAGTTCGAATCCACCAGATGCTCCTCTGGAGAAGGATGGGCAATCTCCTCCTATACCAGTTGGATCTGACTCAATAGTACACAAGAAAGGGGCAGGGGAAGATACTGTAAAGAACAGCTAATGGGTCTGAACATTGCTTTAAACACTATAGAGATTTCATTTGGTACTGACTCTCATAAAATGGGGGAGAAGGAGAACAAAGTAATTTTCAGAACAGTGTGTAGAGCATCTGCACAGATAGGAAATGGAAGGATGTCCAGAAAACTTAAGAGTGTGCTCTTCTGGAGAGTGGAATAGGAGCATACATATGTCCTGCTTTCACATAATACTATTCTTATGACTTGTTTTTAGTAAATAAGCATAAACTTTTGAAAATTCATAAAAAAAAAAAGCTGCCATTTACTGTGGTCCTAAGTGCTTGGTATTGCCAGGTGCTGAGGCAGAGTGAAAGTCCTATTTTGCTTATTGGGCCTCAACCTAATGGGGGAAGGGGATAGAAAAGCCCAGCATTACTCATTAGTCAGTCCCTCCATTGGGCATCTTAAGGCTGTAGATCTATCCAGGAATAGACTGTCCATCTTTCTCCCATGGAGTAACTGGTAGATTTAGACTTCTGGCTTTTAGGTTAGCAAACAAACCCTGTAAGGCATTGTGCCAATAGGGACCCATAGCTGATCTAGCAGGGTTTCAGCGACTATCAGTCACACAGGAGGAGATTGCCCATCTTTCTCCCCTGGAGCAACTGGTAGATTCGAACCACAAGCCTTTGTACAAGGAGTTGCATTGCCAGTCCAAAGACATACAGTTTGAATCTACCAGCTGCTCCATGGGAGAAAAATAAGCAGTCTTCTGTGCAGTTTATTACCTCTGAAAACTGGCTAGAGGGTCGGCTATGAGTTGGTTCAACTTGATGGTACATAACAGGTATAAATGAATGGTCATGAACTCTTACCTGTTTCTTACTTAGAGGATTGTGAAGACAAGGGTTCTCATCATGGTATCTGATACCAGCTCAAGGCCTGGTAGGTACTTGATGAAGTCAGGGCCAAGGAGATAGGTCTACTGGACACTAGTGAAGGTTCTATTTGAATATGCTGGGCTTTCCCACAGTATCACAGCGAGGCTTTTATACAAAGAAACTATTTTAAAGGAAGATGAAACTCGAAGGATAGCTCAACAGATATGGGGTGCAGGGTCTTAGGACATGAGGTTAAGGACAAAGCCATCCAGTGAGAGAGGCTTGCAAATGTGAAGACTGCTGGTTCACAGATGAGGCCACAAGACTTTGAGACCCATTTGGAGGTAGCCACTTGTCTACTCTTTGAAGATGCCATGTATGAAGGTGAGGAGGGTCATCAGAGGTGACAATTCCAGAGAAGCTAGAGAGCTCAACTTGTATGTTAGATTATTTTTATAACCAATTTTTAAATGCCCACAACCATGGTTTTATCTGTGAGCCAAATTCAGAATTCAAGTCTCAGGTACAGACAAGATCATGATGGGCTTTGAAAGCCTGCTGTTGGGGCACTGAGATTTCAAAGTAGGTAAAATGGTGAGAGGAGATAATAACTCTAGGAATGTACCCAGACCTCACCTCATGGAATGAAATAAATAAGGTTAATGCCTATCTACTCATTCCCAAGAAAGATGATCCCAACAGAATGTGAAGGACTGAGAAGTTCAATTTAGAAGATGCTGTGGCACCAGCGATACTGCTGATGTCAGATCATGGCTGAAAGTAAAGACTATTAGAAGAATGTCTGTTTGTGCTTTATTAACTATGCAAAGACATTTGACTGGATCATTATGACTAACATTAAGAATGAAAATTCCAGAACACTTAATTGTGCTCATGCGAAACCTATAGACCAAGAAGGTATTGTGCAAACACAGCAAAGGAACACTGCATGGTTTAAAGTTAGGAAAGATGTTCATCAGAATTGTATTCTTTCTCCATACCTATTCAAGTCCGTACATTGAGTAAATTATTC